GGCTTCTCCTCGACGGAGGAAGCGAGCTTGAGTATCCCGTGCGTACCCTTGAAAAAGTGGTAACGCATTTAGGCTTCTCCTCGACGGAGGAAGCGGGTTTGGGTGACCCCTTCTGTCAAGGCAGGAATGTTTTGCGAGGGATATGGACAAAATATCGCCTCTCATGGGGACTCGTAAAACGAGCGCCCGACACTTGGATAAAAATCCACGTGTAAGCACTAGGGCTCTTCCGCTAGTCGCGGGTAAAGGCTTTGCCAAGATGAATATCTTGAGCAAGAATCGATTTCTCCTACGCGTACCCCTGAGAAGGAGGTGACGCGCTTAGGCTTCTCCTCGACGGAGGAAGCGAGCTTGAGTATCCCGTGCGTACCCTTGAAAAAGTGGTAACGCATTTAGGCTTCTCCTCGACGGAGGAAGCGGGTTTGGGTGACCCCTTTTGTCAAGGCAGGAATGTTTTGCGAGGGATATGGACAAAATATCGCCTCTCATGGGGACTCGTAAAACGAGCGCCCGACCCTTGGATAAAAATCCACGTGTAAGCACTAGGGCTTTTCCGCTAGTCGCGGGTAAAGGCTTTGCCAAGATGAATATCTTGAGCAAGAATCGATTTCTCCTACGTGTACCCCTGAGAAGGAAGTAACGCGCTTAGGCTTCTCCTCGATGGAGGAAGCGAGTCCAGGAAGACTCCATTTGTTTCTCTATGATCACTTTCCGCAGTAGTGAATTTCCATTTCCTTTCTAGGAAGGCGGCGTCATCAGCTTCGAATGCTTCTTCTTCTGGTGAGGCGCCTACACCCTCCCGTGGGGAGTTCATGGGTGGCACCTCAACTTCCTGCATCTTTCCTCGGAGGCGCCTCCTCTCTTCTGTTGCTTCTTGTGAATTGGGAGGCGCCTGGTCGTTGGCCTTGGTGAGTGCCGTCAACGCGGTCATGACTTGGTCTAGTTGGCCTTGCATGCTCGCCATTTGAAGTGTTTGCTTTTCCCGAAGCTTTGCTAGCTGGCCCTCCAGGCACTCCGTGCCTTCTCTGTCTCCCAATGGATCGTCGTCGTCGGATGCTTCCAAACCTTGGATGGTGAGTGGTTGAGGGTTGATAGCCTCGCGACCAAACCTCGTCATCAGCTTCGAACGCTTCTTCTTCTGGTGAGGCGCCTACACCCTCCCGTGGGGAGTTCATGGGTGGCACCTCAACTTCCTGCATCTTTCCTCGGAGGCGCCTCCTCTCTTCCGTTGCTTCTTGTGAATTGGGAGGCGCCTGGTCGTTGGCCTTGGTGAGTGCCGTCAACGCGGTCATGACTTGGTCTAGTTGGCCTTGCATGCTCGCCATTTGAAGTGTTTGCTTTTCCCGAAGCTTTGCTAGCTGGCCCTCCAGGCACTCCGTGCCTTCTCTGTCTCCCAATGGATCGTCGTCGTCGGATGCTTCCAAACCTTGGATGGTGAGTGGTTGAGGGTTGATAGCCTCGCGACCAACAACTTGCTTGAGAGGGGTCTTCGTAGGTGCTGGACTCCTTTCTTCTCCCTTCTTTGAGTTGGAAGCGTCTTTCAAAGTCATGCTTGGCCCCACGGTGGGCGCCAATTGTTTGAGCCCAATCGACTGGGGGTCGCTCGGGTCCAAGGGGTTTGGGGTGTCAGCCATGACCTTGAGGGGTAGGCGCCCCGCCTCGTCCGAAGTAGAAAAAGAGAAGAAGTATATAGAGAGAGAAAGTAGAGAGAAGTTAGAGTAAGAGTAGATAGATTGCCATTTATGAGGAGAGAACTCCTATTTATACACATTTGGGGGTTAGGTCGTGGTCTGGGCGCCTGCCAAGCCATAAATGCAGTGGTCGGGCGCCTCAGACTCTCTGACACTGTACATTGTACTTTTGGCAGGGGGTGTCCCCCTGCCCCTAGTCCTTGCTGATGTAAGGTGCCTGGACTTGTCTCCTTGTCTCTTGGCCTTGTCTTTTTCCCTTTGTCTTCTTTTCTTCATTATGTCATTAACTAGGCTCTTGCCTTGGGGATTGCTAATGTACCCTATCAGTGATATTTGATTCATGTGTATTGCTAAAGATAATAAAGTGAAAATAATGGTATGAACAAAAGTGATAGTTTAGTTAAGGCGACATACGAAGTTATGCAGACCCTTGTGATACTAGTATGTTGTCCTTCCACTACTTAGAGTGGGAGGTTATCGTTGCTCTGTGAAACCAGTCTCACGCAATCCCCTCCACTTTAGGAGAGAGAGTCTCGTCCACCTTCGTTGATGAAACTCATGTCAACTCCATGCTTGGAATGGGCAAACTAGCATTCAGCCACAACAGATCCAACCTCACAAATTTGCCAATATTCTATCACCTTGTTGCCCTCACTTGAGTTACAAGCTTTCGTTACCAGGCTCGGCGATTGTCATACTTTTCTTTTCAAATATCAAGAGATTTAGTCTCTAATAAATAAACAATGTGGTAAGAAAAATAGTTTGTTTAGCATTATATAAATATAGACATTTTATCATAGTCATTTGGATGTAAATTATACATAGTAAACAAAATGAATTATACCCTCACCAAAAATTTCAAAAGTTACGCAATCTCTCTTACTTTCCATTTATCAATTTCTGCAAGGGAGCCATTGATGCATCATCTTGAAGGCTAAGAGGCACTCAAATTTCTTATCTTGTTCGACATTTTTTAAATCTTTTTTTTAGTCTCATATGGTCATTTTCTTCCTTTGTGATATTTTCATTTTAATATAATCCTATATATGGTTTATCTATTTCTCTTGGTATAATTTTTCAAAACTTCGTTTATCGTTTTCTGATGAAAATGACATTTGCAAGAGATATATCGTCAAATGTTTATCTACTTCTTCCAAAATCTTATTAATTTCCTCCTTGCTTCATTCATTAAATCTTGAAAATTAATTAAAAAAAATTGCCACCTATTAGTTGTGGATCAATACATTTTTGAGAATTTTTGAAACAACGTAAGCACACTTTTAATTTATGTCTTATTTGCTACCTACTTTGTTCTAAAATTTAGATTTCATTGAAGTTTTTATGTGGATGTTATGGTTGGGATCATCTATGTCACCATTGGTTCCGTTATCTACCTACTGTTGCATCTCTTAGCCTAACAAAGTTTCCAACTTCCGTTTAACACAATTATTGATCATATGTGGACGTCATTAGTGGGAAGAGGGTGGGATAATGGGTGTTTCTGGTTCCATGTTACTATGTATGTTTGTGGGAGTGTGGCAAACAAGTTATTTCTGAGTGCATGCATGGTAAATCTAGGATGGCTTAAGGATCCTCTGCAAATGTTTTTGTTCGTATATGACACCCTAGTCACATGAAATTTTTAATTCATCTTATACAATATGTTTTCTAATATAATGAAATTCAAACTTCAAAGCATTTTCTATGCTCCAACAATGTGAATAATCATAACTATAGAAACAGTGTTGAGACTATTCAGAATCATTGTCCAATGCTCACGGTAATTTGTTATATTCCTTCAGCATCATGTAAGGAGATATATGATGTGAAGAATGCAAATCGATGAAGGATTGAACTTGTTTAGTGATCAGGTAACTAGTTTTGGAAATTAAATGTGATATTTGATTCATGTGTTTTGCTAAAGATAATTAAGAGAAAATAAAGGTATGAACAAAAGTGATAGTTTAGTTAAGGCGACGTACGAAGTCATGTGGACCCTTATGGTACTAGTATGTTGTCCTTCCACTGCTTAGAGTGGGAGGTTATCGTTGCTCTGTGAAACCAGTCTCACGCTATCCCCTCCACTTTAGGAAAGAGAGTCTCTTCCACCTTCGTTGATGAAACTCAAGTCAACTCCATGCTTGGAATGGGCAAACTAGCATTCAGCCACAACAGATCCGACCTCACAAATCTGCCAATATTCTATCACCTTATTGCTCTCACTTGAGTTACAAGCCTTCGTTACCAGGCTCGGCGATTTTCATACTTTTCTTTTCAAATATCAAGAGGTTTAGTTTCTAAAAAAGAAACGATGTGGTAAGAAAATTAGTTTGTTTAGCATGATATAAATATGGACATTTTATCATATAGTCATTTGAATGTAAGTTATACATAGTAAACACAATAAATTATACTCTCACCAAAACTTTCAAAAGTTATGTCATCTCTGTTATTTTTCCTTAATCAATTTCTGCAAGGGAGCCATTGATACATCTTGAAGACTAAGAGGCGCTCAAATTTCTTATCCCATTCAACATTTTTTATATCTTTTCTTTAGTCTCATATGTTCATTTTCTTACTTTGTGATATGTCCATTTTAATATAATCTTATATATGGTTTATCTACTGTTCCTATTATAATTTTTCAACATTCCTAGTATAAAGTAAGCACAAATATATCAATATGTCTATTTGCTTCTCAATCTCAAGTTGATACTTATTCTGCCTATTGCAACATCAAGTGTGGAGAGTTCATTTTTATTCATGAAATATATCAAAAAGGATCTTCCAAACCGGATAAACGATGAGTGCTTGAATGATGTGTTGGTGATATATATTGAAAAAGAATTGTGTGTTGGTTTGAATAAGTAATATATTATACACAATACTTTCAAAATATGAAATCTCGCTACGACTCATTGTAAGAGGTGTGTATTGAATTATTATTATTATTATTATATAATTATACAGATCTTGAATATCACGTTGTTGATTTTTTATTTCGTTTAGACTTGGACTTTTCTATTATCTATTATGTAGTAGGTTTTTGTATGATATAAAAGACATTCCTTGGCTAATTTTCTGCCTCCAATCATTCTTGTAAAATTCCACAAAATTGCAATGTATTTCTTGTTTGTTCCAACAACCCACAAACTGCACTGCAAATGAAAGAAGAGGTCAACCAACCGTATTAGTGGACTTGGTAAAACATAATAAGGGACAACAATGGTCCATATTCTCACACACAATAGAATTCACAATAAAAATCAGTTTTTAAATAAAGGTATATTCTGTAATTTTCTAACTACTCGATTAATTAATTCCCAGGCGACTTCACCAACACGTTAATTCCCGCACAATGAAAGCGACCAAATCATCATCTAATCTTCGTTCATCTATCTTAGAAAACAAAGCCCCACTCCCTCAAAAACTCCATCGATCACACACAAATGAACAAATCCATCCAGAACTTGTAATTTACCGCCATAAACTAATAGGGTCCTGAGAAAGCAACAAATCATTTTTGAAAAGTTCATATCGATTAATTTATCGATGTTGTCAATCCTTTCACTAATACGAACAATTTCCCTATAGGTGTGTATAAATATAGATAATTAAATTAATTTTCATTGTGTAATCAATTATTAATTAACCAAACCAAACCCAAAATCCAAATCACCGTTCAACCCAGTCAAACACGCCCATGAACATCAACATTCTCGTCGTCCTCCTCCAGATATTGTTCCATCTGAACATCCTTCGACTTCAACGGCACGTAATCCCCGAGATACCCTTCCAAATGCTCCGAAAGCGCCGACTTGTCAATACTCTCGTGGTGATACGACTTGCACACGAAGTACAAGACGGTCTGAACCACCAGCCCGAACAAGAACACCTTCAGCAGCAACAACAGCGAAACAACACCCACCGCGGCCCGACCGGTCGGACCGAGGTTCGACCGGTGGTGGACCACGAACCGGTCGAACATCACCTGAATGGCGCCGAACGTGAAGTTGAGCTTGAAGAAGATGAGGACGGCGAGCCACGTCTTGCCCTTCATGAGGGCGCGGCTTTTAGACATTGCCCGGAAGCCGCGGGCGTCCTCTTCGAGGACGGAGATGACGCTGGCGAGCTGCCAGACGACGGTGGCGTAGAGGAAGCCGGCGAAGTAGAGGACGAGGAGGATCGGGAAGACGTAGTCGCCGACGGGAGCGGTGGCGAGGGTGACGACGGTGACGACGAAGAGGAGGAAGGCGACGAAGTTGTAGGCGAAGATGAAGAGGAAGTAGCATAGGAAAGTTAGGATCAGGCGCTTCCACACTTTTGGTACCACCACGGTTATCACCTTCAGTTTTGTAACGCAATTAAGGCCACACACAACAAAAATTAAAAGGTTTAGTGTTACAGTAACCAATAGTAGAATTTGAAATCAAGTCGAAAGTAAACCATTATACCTATATATCTAATTAAAGATTGAAAATTGTATCGTATTGGCGGGTCGACCAGAAAAATCGTGCTATTCACTCCTTACCCGGGAAACAAGAAAACATTGATCACCACTAAACGCATCAAAAATATATTCTTTTCTTCGAAACAAGAAAACATAATTGTACATATACATACCTTTCGGAAGGAGAGGTCGCGGCGGGAGGTGTACAGCGAGGCGACGGTGAAGACGACGGCGGCGGTGGAGAGCAGCGAGAAGATGAGAAGGAAAGTGAAGTAGGCCGCCTTCAGCAACCAGAAGTAGGTCCACTCGGAGGTGAGCACGCCGTGGATCTTCGACCGGCGAGAGTTGGCGCCGGCCGGGGTCATGTCCAGCTGGATTTCCGACCGGATTATGTTGGAGAGGAGGAGGTTGGAGAATTCTTTCTCGGCCAAGAAGACGAGAGCCAGGGGGAGGATCAAAGAGAGGGTGATCTGGGAGAAGATTCTGCGCCACGCGATGATGATCTTGTAGGATTCCTTGTACACTCCGAACATCCCCAGGAACTGCATCTCTTCTTGCTCCCTGTCCATGGCGACGGCGGAAAGACAGAGGGAAAAAAACAGAGGAAAAACAGAGGATTTTTGGTGGAAGAAAAACAGAGGGTTGTTGTTGTTGGTGATGATGGTGCTTTGTGGGATGGGAAGTCTAGAGATGGAGAGAGAGATGATGATGGGTCAACGTCGACGATCGATGTTAACTAATGGCGATTATTGCTATGTGGTTTGATTAATTAATTGGGGTTTGGTGGTAATGTATATAGGGGGAAACAGGGGAGGGAGAAGAGGATGGGGGAAAAAAGAACAATTGGTGGGAAATGGTGATGGTGGTGGAATTGTTGGAGGGATGTTTCCAATCCATTAAACTTCTGTGTTCCATGGTTGTGGGTTCTTATTATTTTAATGGTTTACTATGGATTTTGTCATTGAATTTTCTATCTTGTTCAAACAACTGCACTCGACTAAGAGAATATTTTCTGGAAGAATCCTCGAACCGGTTAATGATCGTTTTGATGTTCTGTTTCGCTTTTAAAGATGATCATTTCAATGACTCTATGTTAAGATTCTACTGACTAGGGGGGACATCGGTTCGGTTTCAACCGAACCGAAATGGATCGGAGCATACTGGGTCCCAGAATTACTCCACAGCTCAAACCGAATTCGAACCGAAATATTTTGAGAGAAAAAAATTCGTTCTTCAAAAACACGTGTTTGTTGTAATCTTATCATTGTATTTCCACTATGGTAAGACTGACTACACTATGGTAACATCATGATATGAGAGTGGTGACATGATGTAAAATTTTTCTTTCAAAAAATGTCAAAATGGATATCATATTATGGACAACAAAAAATCTGTTTTTTTACCCAATTTTTTCAAATCCTTATGAAAAACTAATGAGATATGGTTCATTGAAGTTTCGTTAGAGATTTGAAAAGTAATTTGACTGCACAACTGAAATCCGTGCCAGGTCCAATGGATCCTCTAGCGGTCCTCGACCCATAGTCATATTTTTCATCCTTTTTCCTTTATCATGTTGATCAATGATCATCATATATTCACTTTCGCAGTTACTACTACCATATATTGTTTTGTAGATCGACATATAGAATAAATTTTTTATTGGTACCTAAGCCTAATTGCATGCTACAACTTTTATCTTGGAATTTTATAAACGGCGAATATAAAAGGTGAAAGATTAATATATATTTTTTTTTAGATAAGGGTGATATAGGTTAATTTTTTTATTATTAGGTACTACTTAAGGGACTTGAACCTGAGACCTCCAGGTTCATGGCTAGTGGTATTACCACTAGACCAATCCCTTGTTCGGTTTGGGTTCCAACCTAAGGGAAGAGCTAGCGTATTAACGTTTCTATAATTTAAATGAGTTGAATACACAATTAATGACGGAGAAGGGCGGAGAGAGACATTTGGTATTATGAAAAATTGAGGGAGGGGGAGGGCATGAGCGCGTGTCTTATGCATTACATGAAGGAGTGGTGCATTAATTGGGGGGACCACAAAATCTATATTATTAACACAAGAAACCACACCAAAAAAAACAACATACATTAGAAATGAGAACCACAACCTCACTATACCGCAAGTTTATAGAAGCATACCACGACCTCTGGTTATAACGACTTCGGAAGATGCTATGGATGCGGCGGTTCATAAGCTTGTTGGTTGGAAGAGAAGTGTCACATAGCTTGTAGTAGAAGTGAGGAACAGAAGCATGGAGGAGCCGGGAGAGCTTGTCTTATCTGCTGATTCTGATTGTTGAGGTGGATATAGAAGGGATTCAATTCAGCAACCAAGGGGGGGTGTAGGACCGGAAAGTTAATCTGCTAACTTGAAGATTCGTTAGCATATACTAACTAATATCCATATTATATGAACTAATATCCAAGTACTAAAGTATCTAGAGAGCACAAACTAGTATTCAAAGTTTGCTAATAGATATCCACCATGAATCAACTATTATCCCAAATTCACAACCTAATATCTAGACAACACAGATTAGTATCCAAACAACACATAATTAGTATCCAGATAACACATAAGAGTATCCAGATAACCCATAAGAGTATTCATATTGAATACTAGTTGGTTGATTGTGGATATTAGTTGGTATTTGCTATCTGAATACTAGTTTGTGATGTTTTGAATACTAGTTTGTGATATCTAAATACTTAGCAGACTTGGATATTAGTTCATACATTTTGGATATTTTTTTTTTTACAATTATACATTTTGGATATTAGTTAGTATATACTAACGAATTTTCAAGTTAGCAGATTAACTAGGCTGGGTGTAGGAGAGGGGATGGATTTGTCAAGCAAGAGGGAGGCTGCGACTGCTCGCTAATTAGGTCATGAAGAAAAGGGGTAATGGGATAGTTTATAGTTACCAAACTGCTCTTATTAAAACTGTTAGCACCCAATCTAAGGTTATGTAAACTTTTATAATCTTATCTCTAACTATTGATTAAGGAAGAACTACATCCCACAGTCCACGTTATAAGGGGTAAGGAGAAAAATCATCGATTTTGGAGGGCAAATGGCGTGTTTTTTGGGTTGGTGATGATTTCCAAAGGTCCGTTAATTTTTTTTTCAGTCTTCTACAAGTCTTCAATAGACCATATTTAATTTGTTTTCATTAAAAAAAGTTGTTTTGTACTGATTTAAAAGATAATGAGCGTGAAATTACCAGCCCGCTTCTCTATTTCCTTATTCAAGTTATTGAATGATTGAGATTGATTGGAGATGGATTATTAGGATCTTTGTTGTGGGGTTTTAGGGTATCACCATATCGCTTCCCTTATTTGGATTGAAATTTATGATATTAAAAGGTAATATTGGTGCAAAATTTTAATCACGACAAATATATATGTTTGTGAATTTGCAAAATAATGAATAGATTTAGCACGATAACTGACATTAACTGTTAATGTTGGCAGATACTTTCTTTCATCAATGACTACATGTTGATGTGGCTTGGAAATAATATCATATACAGTCACTTATATTTTACTATATATAAACCTAGATACACTTTACTATTCACTAACAATTTAGCTATTTGCATTAGGTGTCATTTATTTGTGTGTAAGATTAGAGATGACTACCTAGCATAGTCCATCACCAATTGTTTGAGCTACATCTACTCCTTAAGAGAGAAATCTATAGGATCCTTAGTAACCTATTAAATCTAATAAACGCTATGCATATGATAAGATGAAAACCCATATAGGAACATTATAGAACTCAATTGATTTTGCTTTTCATCGTACCTAGGGAAAACATAATATGGATGGTCTCCTTTACCTTTCATATAATTTGTTACCTTCGTATCTACCAATTTACCTGAGTGATTGGTTTATTAGAGACCTCTCGAGAATGCAATCTTGATAAATTTTTCCATCTACCAATTTAAACATTATCTTATACCATCAAATATTACTCAACCTGACGATTTTTTGAGTTTCCGTCAACCCATTTGAGTTCTTTGTTGACATCCTCATCTCTTTTTTCTTCCAATCAGAGTTGGGCTCTACCAAGGGTAAAAAATAGCCGAATGATTAATTAGACCACTTTAGGATGTAGGTGTAGTAGAGAAGATACTACAAACCCAAAGCGTAATTAAGCATCACATATAAAATCAGAAAGAGAAATAATCTTGTTTCTCAACACACAATAAGAGAACGCAATAATGCGCAAGCGCAAACTAAATGATTCATTTTGATCATACTCTTATCCAAATTATACCTCATCTCCAAACTCAACCTTAATACAAAACAAGGATCTAACATGTCGAGTCAACCTCTAGCAAACCAATGTATGAGGTCAACCACTTGAATTCGACTACTTAAATTCAACTACTTGATTTTTTATTGGCATCAACACCAACTAAGGCTCGAGGTCTAGGTGGGGAGAGATAGGGCAAGGCTCGAGGCTGAGTGCGGAGTATCGAAAAATGAGTCTGAGGTCTTTAATCATATATATTGATTAAAAGAAAGATAATTACATTCTGTAGTTTAACCAAGGCAGGAAATCAAAAGACCGATTTATAGTCTGGTACAATGAAAGGATCTTTTTAGCCACCACATGAGTTACTCTATTGTTACGTCGTCCTACAAATCGTACACTAAGTCCATTATGAAGAGCGAAGTCATGTTCGACCTCCTCAAGAATTGTGCCCACCCTACTATCCCAGGTATTAGATTGATTGATCTTGTCAACGACCACTTTAGCATCACCTTCAAAGCGAATCTCCGAAAACCCCATGCTTAAACACCAAAGAATAGCCTCCCCGAGAACGAGCAACTCGACCACCACATGATCATCCACAACCAGGAACTGAACCCCGCTCGCCATGAGGACTTACCCTGCCTGATCACGGATAAAATGAGTCTGAGGTCCATAGCCCATGTATAGTGTATGAATATGTAAAAATAACTCTGAAACATGTCAAAATCGAAACATGAATTTGTATACATCTAATGAACGTGGTGGCTTTGGTAATTGCATTTAGCTTTGTGTATACAAAGAAATTGCATTTGCTTAGTACGACGGTACAAGCTTCAGCAGCGAACAGCGAACTGGTGTCTCGCGTGTGATTCGGGGACGTGTATAGTACTTTTGTAACTTTCAAGGATCAAAAAGTAAATTGATGATCGGTGGAGTCGGTGGACTGGACAACCTCAAACTTTCATCTTGTAAAAGAAAAAAGCAAAACGCAAAAGCGAATCTTTTCCCACAGAAAGAAAGAAGCATTATTATTTGTGAACACGTAGCGAAGAAGCAAAGTCTGTCCGAGCTGAATTCTTCGCCTTTCGGCAATCAATCTCTCCCCCTTTCCCCTCCGATCTTTCTCTTCTCTCTCAAAACTTCGATCCGCCTCTTCCTTCCCTATCCTTCTTCAGATCTCTAACCCTAACCCTAAACTCCAACGTTTCCATTCCATCCACCAATCCAAAGCTTCGCCTTCTTTCCTACGGTATCATCCAATCTCTTTACTCTTTCGTCTTACGCATTTCCGTTGATCTGATTTCACCTCCCGGGATTGATTGACGGTCTCTTGCTCGTGTGATCTGTTTTCTTTCTGGTACAGGGGAAATGGAATCGTCTTCGTCGTCGTCCGCCCAGCAAGAGTTCGACTACTTGTTCAAGCTGTTGCTGATCGGCGATTCCGGCGTCGGGAAGAGCACTCTTCTCTTGAGTTTCACATCCAGTTCTTTCGAGGAGCTCTCCCCAACCATTGGTGCCTTTCCACCCCCCTTGTCTAATTTCGCTCTTCAATTTGTTCGTTAGGGATTTGAAACTTTTTGAACCAGAAACTCGTTTGTTGGTGGCTTGATTCCTGATGATCCTCCGTTGATATGGAGATTAGATTTTCTTCACCGAGGAGAAAAGTGCACATTTTTGGCGATATTGTGACAATTGATTTTTTTTTTTTGGTTTTGTATTCTTGTTCATTATCCCTGATAACTGAGGGTGTGTCTTTTGATATGTTGAAGTTTGAATTTGGTGTATGATCTTAATTCTTGACTTCGTAGGTGTTGATTTCAAGGTAAAGCATGTTACTGTTGGTGGGAAGAAGTTGAAGCTGGCCATATGGGACACAGGTATGTACCTAGCAATCCTTTCTTAATCCGCGTTTGTAAACTGTACTTGTTGAATCATAGTCCAGGTTTCCAGTTACAATTGTTATATGTCAGGATGCCTTACTATCGACATTCAATTAGTGTCGCATGAGTAGAGCGAGCAGCACGTTAAGACTTTTATGACCTTGATGAAATGCTTTCTGTCTATGATATTGTCATTGTCAGGTGGTTTGCAATGGGATTGGCTTATAAATGTGTAGGGCTGTATGATCTTTTAGTGAGAGTTTTCTGGCTTGATACTATATGAACAGAGCTTCATTAGGTGTCAATTTGGTTGTATTGATCAGGTTTTTATCTAGGGGCAAGATAGGACTTAGTTCTGTTTCCTCCGAAGCTGCGTTCATTTGTGTCCTTGGGATAATTTAGTCTGGTTGAAAGGAGTATTGTCTGCTGATTGGTCAGCTTCTACTTAATTGCTATGTGTGACACAGTTTCTACCTTTTCTTCTCGCAGCTGGACAGGAGAGGTTTCGGACTCTCACTAGTTCTTATTACAGAGGAGCTCAAGGGGTTATCATGGGTATGTGGCTGTGAAAAAAACCATATTGTTTTGTTACCTTTTGCCGTCTGTGTTTACAGTATAGAAGTCTAGTAGTTTCAAAAGGTATGATATATGTCTTTTGCTCAATGCAAATGTTATTTGCATTTTCTTTTGCTTCTCCCTCCTCAGAGGTGGTGCAAGAGTCGATTCAAGAAGACCTTTAGAGTAAGATTCATTGGGATATGTCCTTAGGTTCAGTTCTATATTTGTAACTCTGGAGGTGTGTCCACAAAGTTGTGATGTATGGTTTTCACATTTCTCCAAATTAAGATTGTTAATTTTGGTCATTGCTGCAGTGTATGACGTGACACGAAGAGAAACTTTCACAAATTTGTCTGACATATGGGCCAAAGAAATCGATCTATACTCTACAAATCAGGACTGCATTAAGATGCTTGTCGGCAACAAAGTTGACAAGGTATGTCTACTATCTCCCTCCGTTCTTCTCGGAGATTTTCAGTGCTGAAAGAGTTGTGTCTTTTTAGGAATTATGTTGACTGATGGACTTATTTTGGATATATCTTACATCTGCAAGTTTGTCATTTGTCATGACTCATCCAACTCGTAATATTGCAGGAAAGCGAAAGAGTTGTAACAAAAAAGGAAGGCATCGACTTTGCCAGGGAGTACGGGTGCCTGTTTCTCGAATGTAGTGCAAAAACTCGCGTGAATGTAGAGCAGTGTTTTGAGGAGCTTGTTTTGAAGGTAACTGACAGTATACCACCACCTATTCTTCTGTGGTTGAAGCATTTGATCCAATGAACTTGAATGATTATTTCGTATGTTATGTATGCATATACATGACCGGTCTGAGATGATTGAGAAATGAAATGATGCACTGAGGACGAACTGGTGATTGGTGTTTTGCAGATCTTGGAAACTCCAAGCCTGTTAGCTGAAGGAGCCAGCGGGGTGAAGAGAAAGAACATATTCCAGCAGAAGCCTGCGGAGGATGCTTCAGCTAGCGGTTGTTGCTGATATGGACGTTTTTGCTCTTTCTCTTCAATACCTCTTGTCTAGAAATTACCCAAGGCTTTCTGCTTCATCACCCTGATGTGTTTTCATGTATCTGACGCACACATGTCACTTTACAGTGGATGATTTGTACATCAAATCTCAGATGGTGTTTGATATTTTATCCAAGATTCTCTTCTTTGGTTTGTCTATGGAGACGCATAACTGTACATGTTGTACCAAATGCTCATGCGAATGGGTTGGTCTCATGATATTGGGTTGGTACCAAATGATTCTAAATGCATGGTTATTAACTTTTTTGGATTAGGTTGGATTTGAATATGATGGTATTTGGGTCCGATTCAAATTGGTGGTTTATTTAGGTCCAAATGTAGTTTAGTTAGGTCCAAATGAAAAGTTGCCACCAATATGGATTTGGATTTTGTAAGTTATAAGTTTGATCACTAAGATTGATTATTAAATTGTTTCACATTTGTTTATGTACATATTTTATTATGTTCCAAGTATGATCCTTGCTCGTGACTAGTGAATAAATTATCAAGATATGTAGGGGGAGCATGAATGGAGTGGTTTGTGTAATGTTTTCATGGAATATGCACTCCTTGGCAAAGAATCAATTGGAATGTGGTGATGGTAAATTTTGGGATCAACATATAATTTTTTGAAGATGAATGTTAAAAGATGTGAAAATGAATATAAATGATGATTATGTCCATCATATCTTGATTATTTATTCGCTAATCACGAAATGGATCATACTTGGAGCATCATTGCGTCCATCATGTTCCCTTTATTCTATATATATCTCTATGGACTATGGATTTCATAGTGTCCACTTCACTTCCTCCTAAAATGAACAAACAAAGATTATTCTAACCTAATTTGGTTTAATACACTTGTATATCCAAAACTTTCACGGTTGTGCCAATATATCCAAATTTCTCGAAATACCACTTATATCCTTGTTTTAAAGTTGTTCTTTGCCAAATCTATCCATTTCCCAATATATTTTTGGTTAAATACACTTGTATATCCAAAAACACCGTTAAAGAATGTGAAGGAATTGGATATAAGTGGTATTTCAGGAAATTTGGATATTATTGACACAATCGTGAAAGTTTTGGATATACAAGTGTATTTAACCTTCTAATTTTCATCTTTCCATGATATATAGGTTACTTTTCATTGTGATTGTACAAAGTGACCCAGAAAAGTATATGAATATGAGCATATTTGAAAAAGTTTAATGGACTTGTCTATAAGTTTTGAAAAAGATGGTGATTCGAAATCGAGAATAGGGAAACAAATAGCATCAGATGGCAAATGTTTTCGCGACTGACTGAGCGGTAGGGATGGCAACAAAACCCGAACCCACGGGTACCCACCCGACCCAATCCGGTCAACGCGGGTAAAATCCGTGTTGACGGGTTTTGAGCCGGGTTTGGGTTTAAACCCGTTCACTATTCACCGGGTTGGGTTGGGTTTGGGTTTAGGTAAACCCGGCCCGTGGGTACCCGCCCACTCATATAATTAATTTTTTCGGTATATTTAATATTCTAAACAACTATTCTTATCTATGTTTGTGAAGACATGTCTAATTTTTTCTTTTTAATTGTGTAGAATGAAGTTGATGTTATGGAGTGGAGAGTAAATAAACTTAATTGAAAGAAAGAAGCTTTCAATTAAACATGTTATTTATGGATAATTTGTGATTTGCTTCAATTTTCTTGAGTTTTCTAGATTTGTGTTGAACAATTTGTATAGTTAATTTGTGATTTGCTTGAATATGGATAATTTGTATTGAGAGATTGATATTTGACTTTAATTTTGATAAGAACTTGTAATTGTAAATTTTTTACGACAAAACCCGTGAGTACCCATGAACCCGCGGATACCCAAAGGGTTGGGTTGGGTTTGAGTTTTTCAAACCCAGTGGATTTTACCCCGGGTTTTTTTCAAAGATAAACCCATGGGTTTGGGTTTGGGTTTGGCAAAACCCGACCCAACCCGACCCATTGCCATCCCTACTGAGCGGACCGTTTTGCTGAAGGAATCGGGTCGGATCTGGGCCCAGGCCCGAGTTCCGCCCCATGACCCGCGAACAAAGACCAAACTCAAACACAAAACCCAAAGCCGAAGTTCTGCTGAGGGTTTTAGGCTTTCATCCTAAATTTTCTCCTCCTGTAACCGAACTCCTCTCCTCACCTCGCCGCCGATACGGGAACCGCCGCCAAGGGTTCTCCAATGGCGAAAGATCCTCTGGTGAGCTCCAAAGCGGAGCTCAAGCACAAGCAAAACATCAAGAAGAAGGCAAAATCCGGCGGGTTCGAGTCCCTGAACCTCAGCTCCGATGTCTACCGAGGAATTAAGCGCAAGGGGTACCGCGTCCCCACCCCAATCCAACGGAAGACCATGCCTATCATCCTCACCGGTACCGACGTCGTCGCAATGGCTCGTACTGGTTCAGGGAAGACCGCCGCGTTTCTGGTGCCGATGCTCGAGAAGCTGAGGCAGCACCTGCCTCAGGGTGGTGTCAGGGCGCTCATTTTGTCTCCCACCAGGGATTTGGCTCTACAGACCTTGAAGTTCACCAAAGAGCTCGGAAGATTCACTGGTCAGTTTGTTTTCCTGCTTCGAGTTCGTCTACTTGGTGATAGGTTTATGGCGAGGTTTTGCTATATATGTTTGGAGATGATGGAATCAGTGGGTGTTGTAATTTGTTGGAGATTGTTATCAATTGCTGCTCTATATGTTTGCTTTATTAGTGCCCAGCTGTGGTACTCCGATGAAGGTTGAGCTTAGGACCTGATTACTGTTATGCAATTTATGACCCTTTTTGCTCTCTATACCTTAATAGTTAGGCTAGGTAGCAAGCTTGTTGTTATGACATGATGCAAGAGTACTTTCATAATCACTTTAATAGACCAGAAAATACCATTTTCACTGTCCAGAGACATTATTATAGGATCCTCATTTCCATTGACAAAGGAAAGAGTTTTTTGCTCAGCAATGAATTTCGGAGGGAAACCAGTAGTTGAAGGAATGAATGTCTGCATCTGAATGTCTTTCCAACTAGGATTTTGGGATGAGCTTGCCCTAAATCCTATAGTGACTTTGCCTTAATTTTTAGCTTGGTATGTGTATTTTCATTTTTTCTATGCTTGCACCATTAAACATGTCTCTCTTTTTTAGCAAGTGATGATTCATTATTCTGAAGCTTCCTCTTTTTTTTCTTATTTTCAGATCTCCGCACAAGTTTGTTGGTTGGTGGTGACAGAATGGAAAGCCAATTTGAAGAATTAGCTCAAAACCCAGATATCATTATTGCAACACCGGGTAGGCTCATGCACCATTTGTCTGAGGTTGAAGACATGTCACTGAAGTCGGTGGAATATGTGGTTTTTGATGAGGCTGACAGTCTCTTTGGGATGGGCTTTGCTGAGCAGCTGCATAGGATCCTTACTCAGTTGAGTGAGAACCGGCAAACCTTGCTGTTCAGTGCAACAATGCCAAGTGCACTTGCTGAATTTGCGAAGGCTGGTCTGCGTGATCCTCAGCTTGTTCGTCTTGATGTGGACACAAAGATTAGTCCTGATCTGCAGCTGTCCTTTTTCACCTTACGACATGAGGAGAAAGATGCGGCCTTGCTTTATTTGACAAGGGAACATATTAGTGCAGATCAGCAGACATTAATCTTTGTTTCCACAAAGTATCATGTGGAGTTTTTGAATACTCTGTTCAGAGAAGAGGGCATAGAGCCTTCAGTGTGCTATGGTGATATGGACCACGAGGCTCGCAAGATTCATATATCCCGGTTCAGATCAAGAAAGACTATGTTGTTGATTGTCACGGACATTGCAGCAAGAGGCATTGACATTCCATTGCTAGATAATGTAATCAATTGGGACTTTCCTCCTAAGCCCAAATTGTTTGTACATCGAGTTGGTCGAGCTGCTAGGGCAGGTCGTACTGGGACAGCATTTTCTTTTGTTACCTCTGAAGATATGCCTTACCTTCTAGATCTGCATCTATTTCTCTCGAAACCAATCAGGCCTGCACCCCCGGAAGAGGAGCTTGTGCAAGATATGGACAAAGTAATGAGAGAGGTTGATCAGGCTCTTGCAAATAAAGAGACTGTTTATGGTCGTTTCCCAGAGACACTGCTTGAACTTGTGTCAGATAGGGTTCTTGGTATCATAGGTGCTTCTAGAGAGCTAACTGACTTGCAGAGAGCACGTGCTAATGCTTTTCGCTTGTATAGTAAGACCAAACCTGTACCTTCGAAGGAGTCCATTAGAAGAGTAAAGGATCTACCACGAGAGGGGATACATCCAATCTTCGTAAAAGCACTAGGTGGTGGTGAATTGATGGCAATGGCCTTTTCCGAACGGTTGAAGGAATTTAGGTAAGTCCGAAAAATGAAAAACATGTGAATAATTTTTTTTCCTGACAGCTTTTAGATAACCTCATTTTTGTCTTACAAAACTTGACTCTGCAATGATTGGATTTTATCAGACCGAAGCAGACAATACTGGAGGCTGAAGGTGAAGGTGGAAAAATGAAGACTGTTCGGGTAGCTATAATGTCTTGTAGTCATCTGTGTGTTACTGAATATTCTTAAGTTATATTTGATATTCTGGGACCATTTCCGAGTTGGAGATTATATTGTAGGGGTTGTTTGGGTTTCTTTATAGATAAAGTTAGGCCTTTATACAAGAAACCAAAATCTTAGAGAAGTCTGAACCAGGGCTGTGCCAAAGGCGCAACAGCGAAAGAAAAGCTTAGGTGTATTTTAGTGGCACTGATATTGACATGCATTCTAGTGAAGTGGCCCCACATGATTTCTTTCTCACCTTTTTGGCGCAAGTTTGAGACTTTCAGTGTATGCGTGCTGAACCAAACAGCGGGCTTATAAATACATCACATTAGTATCATGCAAAACAATGAGCACGCAACTAGGACAAATAGCAACTTTCTTCAAATACACCATCTGTAGCTCATCCTTATCAACAATCATTAAAACCTAGATGTTGCTTGTATATTTTGAATGTTTGCCTAGCATATTCATGATGTACTCGAAGATCTTGAGGAATATTCTTTACCATCCGTTCCTTTGCTTTTGTTTCTTCTGTCATGTTTCTTGATCTTTATATCTGTGTCCTCAGTCAG